TCAAATGATCTTACCCAGTGAGGTGGTGTGTATGGCAAAGAGAAGAGGTCCTAGTACAGAGCCCTGGGGGATTCCTGTGGCAAGATGGTGCACAGTAGAGAAGTGTCCAAGCCAAGATGCACTGAATGATCATCCTTTGAGGTACGATTCAAACCAGGTGTGTGCTTTCTCTGTGATGCCCATGCTAGAGAGTGTGGACAAAAGGAAGCCATGGTTGACAGTGTCAAATGCAGCCGATAAGTCGAGCAGGATAAGCACTAAGGATTTGGCAGTCGCTCTAGCTTCTTTTAAGGATTCCGTCACTGCTAACAGAGCAGTTTCAGTGGAGTGGCCCTTTTTGAACCCAGATTGGTAAGGATCAAGCAGACAGTTTTGTGAGAGGTATTCTTTAATCTGCTTGAAAGCCGCCCTTTCAATGATTTTGGACAGAAAAGGGAGGAGAGAGATAGGTCGGTAGTTCTCCACATGATTTGGAGGAAGATGTGTTTATTTTAGCAGCGGTTTAACCTGAGCATGCTTGAGAGAGGTGGGAAATGTACCGGATGTCAGTGAAGCGTTGATCACATGTGTGACTGCTACAGGTGCTGTAGGAGCAATAGCTTGGAGCAGCTTAGTCGGAATGGGGTCAAGTGGGCATGTAGTAGGGCGGCTGCACGTCAGAAGCTTGGACACAGTTCTCAGTGAGAGGGGAACAAGAGGAAAATGAAGCAGTACGGCTTGAGATGGTTGGGCTAGATGAGCTATACACTAAATTGATAAGCACATAAACACATTGTCATATCTGGTGTTAGCACTCTTTAGTGTTTTATGGTTGGGAGCACTTAACACACTCATTAAATAAAGTGTATTATTATTATTATTATTACAGCAACATGCCTCCGGCATTTAAGTGCAGCTGCTTGCTGTCTAACTGTTATAGTTTAGAATGACTCATAATCCACAATTGACTCCTTATTCACATTGCCAATGCTTAATTTGAGACGGATCTTGCCGGAACAAGATGCAGGAACTATCCTATTTTGAAAGGACCTTTCTGGCAACTGTCTGCTAGGATCCGGCAACTCACGTGACAAACTTGTGCTATACACAGGATTCGATTTACGGGTGAGCTAGGGAGCTCCTGGAAGCCCTCAACACACCCAGGGGGAGCCCAAAAACGATTCTAGTTCTACTTATATTACATTATTTATGTGGACTCTCCGGGGATTATTTTGAGCTGAGAGGCGCAGAGCTCTGATCGTTGACGCGCTCCAGACAGCTGCGTCTTGAGCACGGCCACAGTAACATTCTCAAAGTGTGCCACCTCAAAAACAAATTTAACACGCGATCGTTCATGTCTGCTCATATCCTTTCATGCTTTCTGTCATTTATTTGTGCCTGATACGTTTCGCTGCTACGCAGCGGAGCGCATCACCTGTTTCGTCCTCCGGTGACTTCACCACATCGGTGCGGTCCGCGCGCGGCGCACACTCCGCCGTTTTTGCGGTCGGTAGATCTTTTTGAAGTGCAGTTCAAAGGTAACTCATGAGGTGAAAAAATATGAAGCCAGGTAGCAGTTTTTCTTTAGAATTGAGAGGAGATGCAGGAAGATAATAAACAGACAAGACAGAAAAATAGTCAAATAAAAAACAAGTTCCTTTTTGTACCTGGTGGTTGCAACAAATAGACACCATTGAAGGTAATCAGAAGTGAGGAACAGAAAATTAAAGGATTCCTTCCATGTTTAGATCAAAAGGAAATCTGAGAGGCTGCAGGAGCACCAGGGAGTTTGCGGCCGCTGCGCAGGGGGAGAGGGCTGAAGCAGGGGAACAGTAAAGATGCAAAAACTACTGTTGTTA